GAAGAGGAAGGGAGAGTCAATATGTTAAAAAAAACATTCTTTATAAAATATTTGAAAATTAAGTGCAATCATTTCCATCTGACCTGAATTACCAAACTTCATCCTGTTTCCACCAGCATTTTGGTTGTTATACTGGGGCACATTTGGCTGACCAAAAATGGAATTGGGTGGAGTTGCTGAGGTGGTAGGCCTGGAAAACGAAAAACATTTTTTGAAGGAACAAATTAATAATCGACTCAAAATAGAATAATCCAAACCATACGGAACTAATAATAACTAGTTTGCGTAAGTTTTAACACCCACAGGAGCTGAAAATATTCTTGCCTGAGATTGGGCCCAACAGTACTTGATGCCCCCATTTGACTGAAGCTGGAAAACAACGGCGGTGCATTACTTTGAGCAGGTGCATTATTTTGAACACACATTGACGGCATGGTGTTGTTAGCTCCAGCGAAATTTTTGGTTTCAGCGTAATTAGAACTTATTACATAGGGATTCCGGAGTAAATTGTCAAATTCAGCACACTTTGAATTATACAAATTTCTCTCTCTATCAATCTGTGCACAACAAATGGCAATATAGTCAAAAACATACTTTATAGCAAGTTCCTCTACCAATAGTTGATTAAGAACTTTGAAGTTTTCAGTCGTTGAACCACGTTCAGCTACATTATGAACGTGAATAATTTATTTTCTTAAAATGTACATTTTCCTATCTTGCACTATGAAAAAATACAAGAAAGAAAATACTACCAGCACATACTTTATAGCTTAACAGAAAACATAGAAAGGATATACACTATAAATCAGATAAGAACTAAGCGCAGTTGTGGGAGATTATGGTTGCTCCTATCGACGATAAACAAGAGAGAATTTATTGAGATTGTCGTTCATGTGCAACAGAGGCCAGTAAGATTATGGTTAATGAGGCAAATTATACTAGAGGTAGATCTAAAGAGCTTGGTTTGGAAAAATTAAGATGGACATGGTAATAGTTAGCTTAACATAGGGATCATCCACAATAGAAATGAATGGAAGAATAGGCTTCATGTGGCTGACCCAAAAATTACAAAAGGCTTCGTTGTTGATGATGATGTAAACATAGAAAGTATAAGGAAATATGTATAAACAAGAAACCAGTACCATAAAAAGCTGATAGGGGCTGACAATATCCCCTTTAGTAATTAAATACACCATCAGATAACGCATTGCACATGTGTGCACTATGAAGAAACTCCAGATGAGCATATTCAATGTCCATGGCATCAACATGGACCTTTTTTTTCCAAGGTGGGTTGGATAAATTTGTTCAACTTACAATTGCTTGCAAAGGCAACCCTTTCTTAGCATCTTCATATGCCGCTGCTCGCAACTCTTCATAACTGACATCGCCAACAATGTCACAAGCCCGACTGAAAATTGAGATGCATGCATTCATCAGATAAAGATTGTTTATCACTGTTAGCATGTGCATAAGAGGAAAACAAAAGAAAAGGAGGGATTGGACAAGAAGGCATCTAATTATTTCTTTCGAATTAAAAGTGAAAGTCGATCAACAAATTATATGAGACAAAGAGCTTCTGACTTATCCAGCACAAATTGATCACCATTAAGGCATTAACTAGTAAGTAAAATCTTTTCACTTACTTCTTCCAGTGACCATAACAAGTAAGCCTCCAAAGTGGTAGTTCATTCTTGAAATCTTCAGCTATTTGATGTTTACACGACTCAGGATCTGAACATCTAAGCACCAACAACAGAAATTCAATTAAGAACCCTGTGACCTTCTCATAACCATGAAAGATGTAACAGCAGAAAATAATAATTGCTGCCATTGAAACTTACTGATGATTAGGTGCTTGCGGTTGTGTAGAAGCCTGCTGACTGTAGTTTGGTGCACTAGTAGATGAGGGGCGGATCCACTTGTTTTCAAATGGCTACTTCATTAGAATGCATGATAGTATCCAAGATATTCTTTTAGTTAGTTAAGAGAAGACAAATTTTGACAGCTACAATAAAATGCATTATTATACTTTTAAAGTGCCCTTAAAACCACGAAGAGAGTGTTGAAAGAAAATATTTTTGCTGAAAACAAATACTAGATTTCTCAAGTAGCTTTATCATAAACATACCTTGGCCGGACTATCATTTCGTACACCAAAGCTTGGTGTGCCTTTTGGGCCTGAACCATTCTGGACACCAAATCCAAAAGGATTAGGCTTTTGCTGCTGATTCGCATTAAAAAACTGTGAACTATTATTCTGCGAACCAAATCCAAAAGAATTTGGTCTTGACTGTTGCTGAGACACATGTAGAAACCTGCAGCGATCACCGTAGTCGCAGCTGGAAATAAAGAGAAGCGTTACTCACCAATTGTTTGAAGAAAGTAGAATTAATCACGAATACATGTGGTCAACAGCTGAATCAATAACAACATAAATATTACATGTTCGCCACCTAAATGCGATCAGTATACAATGCAAACATGCGTACATGAGATGAGATGCATGCAAATAAGAATGATATCTGGCAACAAACAATTCCTGCCTTAGGGAATCAGCCTTATGAATTCTTCTTAGTGATGTATATGATTAAGCTTCAAGTTGAAACTGCTAGTTTGGCTATACAGCTTAGTGTGCCTTGAGAAATTAAGACAAGTTTAAATTGGAAATATTGAATATCTTTCCCTTTTTCTACACTTTGTACTAGCTCGAAAAGAACTTAGAGGATGCTCTTTGGTAGAATGAACTTAAACTATAGGTTTTTGGTTGTTTTGTTGGCTACAAATATTAGAAACACAAGCTTCAACTGGTAAGTACTGTTGGCACCATGTGAACATGTCAGACTGACTCACTCCTCCATTTCATTTGCTTTGATATCAAAGATTCCAATGTCCCAAGGAAAGAAATTTGTTATTAGATTTTTTCAGGGAGAAAAGAGACTGATTTTGAGTATTTCATTTCACTCCTGATGCTGCCTGTTCCTTCTCCACACCGAACTTAGTCAATGCATCCACACCATCTCCTGTTTTACATCTGCTCAAACAGCCAACATCCACTACCAACTTTTCACAATAAATGTTTAACTTCTCCTTGACAGGTGCATCCCTCCGCAAAAGAGAGATTACTGCTCAAATTTTTTTTAGATTTATCTTCTTTTCTTCCTCACAACTTATTAGATATATAGCAGACAATGTTACATTAAACGCTGGGCGCTTCTAGGCGTCGAACTTGGCGCCCAGCGCTTAGTCGCCTAGGCGGGCGCTTAAGCGGTTTCTGGGCGTTTTTGTTTCTTTCTTCATTTAAGTGGTGGTCGATGAGGTTTTGCTGAAGGTCGGAGGAGGTAATGGAGGTGTTCATATTTGGAGATTAATGGAGTTTGGAGGACGTGTAGTCTACGACACATAAAATCACAATCAAGGCCTACAGGGTGCAATCCACGTAAGCAGACAATGCTCCCCTAAACGCTCGTAAAACCTAGGTGGGCATCCTAAATACCGCCTAGGCGCTAGGCGCTAGTTAGGCGGCCTAGGTACCGTCTAGGCCTAGGCATACGCCTAAGCGGACTAGGGGGAGGTTTTTTAAAACAGTAAGCATATACCATGTTGGGACTTGTGACATTGACATCTTGTGGTTTTACATTATTTGATTGAGGAATTTGGGACATAGGATGCTGAGATTGTGAGATTTTCAAAGGACAAATCAATCATATTTTGTTTGGAGAGGAAAATCCACCTTATTCTTGGTTTAAATTTTGCTTGCATCGTTAACTTCTTGATATTTTATTTATTTTGAAGTCCTCCTCATAACGATGATAATGACAACAACAACAACCAATGACAACAAACCTCATCCAAAATCTCTGGGCTGGCTACATGTATCATTTTCTCTACCTAACTGTTACAAGGGCCATCTTCTCAGTTAAAGTAAGAGGCTTGTATCCTTATAAACTTTTCGAATCCATGTTCACTTAAAATTTAGATCTCCTCCTAGCCCTCGTCTCATCAACTATAGTTCCTCCTAACTGTGGCACTTACTATGTCAATTGACATGTTGAGACCATATCAAGTGATTCTCTCGTGATTTATCATCAACTAATCGACCAATATTATTGTTGAAGCCATACTCATTCTTTGACATGAACTACATGATACTTCTTCCTCGCCCAACAGTCGGGCGCATAGGAATCATGCATATGTTTAGAAACAGTCCTTCTCTTTGTTGCATCAACGGATATAATACGATCAACAAATAAAATGTATCATGGATATGTTCAGCGAGTCCATCTATAAAAAAGTTGTCTGCCTAGCACTAATATGCCATCAGCCAACGTAATACAACCCTGAAGAATCTAACGCAAGTCTTCAACCAAGTACCATCACAACGACAGTGTTACTGGCATGACAAATAGTTTGTACCCCCAAAATATGGCTTAAATTTGCACCGGAAAATGTGGGTTGCAGCGGGAATCAATAGACGGAATCAGAAATTAACCACGCAACACAAAATCCGGTTAAAAAGTATCCAAAAATATTAAGAGAAAAGATCATAAAAAACCCAGAAATAGAAACACTTCAATTCTATTTGATGTGAGCATGATTTCAAGCAAACGCAAAAACCTGCAATTATTCCATATTCCATCAACAAATTGAAAGGGAAAAAAGATAAAATTTTGAACTAAATTTATTGAATAAACTATAGCTCAGATGATTTTTTTTAAAAAAAAGAAAATTTAAAAAGGAAAAAGAAAGAAGAAAAATACCTGCCGCGCTGAAAATTTCTGCAGGCTTCTCTCCTTCGGCTCATGTGTATCCGCTTAAAGGAATAAAAATCCCGATTCGTAAAGGGTTTGAGCTTTTGTAGGGTTTTGAAGATCGAGAAACCCTAAATTAGGGCGTATCTCTCAGAAATAGTGAGAGAAGAAAATGAACTAGTTTGGGTTTGGGGTGAGTTTGGATACGAGGTTTTTGGTTGTTTTGTTGGCTACAAATATTAGAAACACAAGCTTCAACTGGTAAGTACTGTTGGCACCATGTGAACATGTCAGACTGACTCACTCCTCCATTTCATTTGCTTTGATATCAAAGATTCCAATGTCCCAAGGAAAGAAATTTGTTATTAGATTTTTTCAGGGAGAAAAGAGACTGATTTTGAGTATTTCATTTCACTCCTGATGCTGCCTGTTCCTTCTCCACACCGAACTTAGTCAATGCATCCACACCATCTCCTGTTTTACATCTGCTCAAACAGCCAACATCCACTACCAACTTTTCACAATAAATGTTTAACTTCTCCTTGACAGGTGCATCCCTCCGCAAAAGAGAGATTACTGCTCAAATTTTTTTTAGATTTATCTTCTTTTCTTCCTCACAACTTATTAGATATATAGCAGACAATGTTACATTAAACGCTGGGCGCTTCTAGGCGTCGAACTTGGCGCCCAGCGCTTAGTCGCCTAGGCGGGCGCTTAAGCGGTTTCTGGGCGTTTTTGTTTCTTTCTTCATTTAAGTGGTGGTCGATGAGGTTTTGCTGAAGGTCGGAGGAGGTAATGGAGGTGTTCATATTTGGAGATTAATGGAGTTTGGAGGACGTGTAGTCTACGACACATAAAATCACAATCAAGGCCTACAGGGTGCAATCCACGTAAGCAGACAATGCTCCCCTAAACGCTCGTAAAACCTAGGTGGGCATCCTAAATACCGCCTAGGCGCTAGGCGCTAGTTAGGCGGCCTAGGTACCGTCTAGGCCTAGGCATACGCCTAAGCGGACTAGGGGGAGGTTTTTTAAAACAGTAAGCATATACCATGTTGGGACTTGTGACATTGACATCTTGTGGTTTTACATTATTTGATTGAGGAATTTGGGACATAGGATGCTGAGATTGTGAGATTTTCAAAGGACAAATCAATCATATTTTGTTTGGAGAGGAAAATCCACCTTATTCTTGGTTTAAATTTTGCTTGCATCGTTAACTTCTTGATATTTTATTTATTTTGAAGTCCTCCTCATAACGATGATAATGACAACAACAACAACCAATGACAACAAACCTCATCCAAAATCTCTGGGCTGGCTACATGTATCATTTTCTCTACCTAACTGTTACAAGGGCCATCTTCTCAGTTAAAGTAAGAGGCTTGTATCCTTATAAACTTTTCGAATCCATGTTCACTTAAAATTTAGATCTCCTCCTAGCCCTCGTCTCATCAACTATAGTTCCTCCTAACTGTGGCACTTACTATGTCAATTGACATGTTGAGACCATATCAAGTGATTCTCTCGTGATTTATCATCAACTAATCGACCAATATTATTGTTGAAGCCATACTCATTCTTTGACATGAACTACATGATACTTCTTCCTCGCCCAACAGTCGGGCGCATAGGAATCATGCATATGTTTAGAAACAGTCCTTCTCTTTGTTGCATCAACGGATATAATACGATCAACAAATAAAATGTATCATGGATATGTTCAGCGAGTCCATCTATAAAAAAGTTGTCTGCCTAGCACTAATATGCCATCAGCCAACGTAATACAACCCTGAAGAATCTAACGCAAGTCTTCAACCAAGTACCATCACAACGACAGTGTTACTGGCATGACAAATAGTTTGTACCCCCAAAATATGGCTTAAATTTGCACCGGAAAATGTGGGTTGCAGCGGGAATCAATAGACGGAATCAGAAATTAACCACGCAACACAAAATCCGGTTAAAAAGTATCCAAAAATATTAAGAGAAAAGATCATAAAAAACCCAGAAATAGAAACACTTCAATTCTATTTGATGTGAGCATGATTTCAAGCAAACGCAAAAACCTGCAATTATTCCATATTCCATCAACAAATTGAAAGGGAAAAAAGATAAAATTTTGAACTAAATTTATTGAATAAACTATAGCTCAGATGATTTTTTTTAAAAAAAAGAAAATTTAAAAAGGAAAAAGAAAGAAGAAAAATACCTGCCGCGCTGAAAATTTCTGCAGGCTTCTCTCCTTCGGCTCATGTGTATCCGCTTAAAGGAATAAAAATCCCGATTCGTAAAGGGTTTGAGCTTTTGTAGGGTTTTGAAGATCGAGAAACCCTAAATTAGGGCGTATCTCTCAGAAATAGTGAGAGAAGAAAATGAACTAGTTTGGGTTTGGGGTGAGTTTGGATACGAAGTGACGGAGCGGAAAAAGGAATTCAAGATGTGGAAGATTTTAAGAAATATTACTTAAAATTTAATTTCTGTCATTTTAAGAGCAGCTCCAACCGGGCTGTATTTTGAAAATTTCTGTCATTTTAAGAACAGCTCTAACCGAGCTGCATTTCTTCAAAATGCAGCCCGGTTGAGCTCCAACCGGACTCCAATTTTTGGAGTCCGGCTGCAAAAACTCCCACCCGGCTACATATTTGGAGTTTTTGCTCCAAATATGCAACCCCCCTTCATTTCATTATTCTCCCTAAAAAATAACAATAATACCCTTCTAACTAACTAATTATTTTTAGATATTCAACTTAAAATCAACATAAGTTTATTTCTACTAATTATTTTTAAATAAAAATTTTACAGTTGTGTTTTGCCGATACCTTCAAAATGAGACTAATATTGAATAATATTAATTGAAATATAAAATTTCAAGAACCAAGTAATTAAAAATGAAAAAGTCATTATTTCATTAGTAAAAAAAGTTACATCGCTTCATTTCCATGTCTTTCCCACAAATGTTCAATCAATGCATTTCGAAGTGCAAAATGAGCTTCTTTGTTTTTCAACCTCTTATGTCGAGCAAGAAACCGTTGGAATCGTTCAGTTTCCGTTATCTCCATATTTTCAGCATTCGGAATTGATTGTGGAGTTGAAATGACAACATCTTCTTGCTCGTCGCGTTCATCTTCGACAATCATATTGTGCATTATAATACAAGCAGTCATGATATCATGCAGAGTTCGTTTATCCCAAAAACGGGCTGGCCCCTTGATGATAGCAAATCGTGATTGGAGAACACCGAATGCCCGCTCAACATCTTTTCGACATGCTTCTTGCATCATTGCAAAATATTGTTTCTTTTTATCATCGAAATTAGAAATGGTTTGAACAAGTGTTGGCCATTTCGGATATATGCCATCGGCCAAATAATAACCGACATCATAATTTTTTCCTTGAATTGTGTAATGAGCAGGAGGAGCAATACCTTGTGATAGATTGTCGAACAAATTAGACGACTGCAATACATTAATATCGTTATTGGATCCTGGTAAAGCCAAAGTATGCATGCCATATCCATAGATCATATGATGCTACTACCTCAAGAATAATGGTTGGACCTCCATGACGACCTGAGTATTGTCCTGCCCATGCTGTTGGACAATTTTTCCATTGCCAATGCATACAGTCTAGACTTCCTAACATTCCTGGAAAACCTCTTTCTTCGCCCTTTTGCAATAACCTTGCAACATCATCGACATTGGGGGTCCTCAGATATTCATCTTCAAATACTTCTACAATTGCTCTGCAAAATCTCTTTAAACATACAATTGCAGTTGACTCACCGATCCTAACATATTCGTCAGTACTATCTGCTGATGTTCCATACGCCAACATGCGCAATGACGATGTAACTTTTTGTAAAGTTGATAGCCCAAGTTTGCCGACACCATCCATCTTCTGTACGAAGAAGTTGTCATGCTCACGTACCGCCTCAACTATACGAAGGAATAAACTCCTGTGCATCCGGAACCTTCTACGGAATAGGTTTGCACCATATGTAGGGTTATCAGAAAAATAGTCATGGTAAAGTCGAGAATTACCTTCTTCCCTCCCGCGATTGATCACCAAATGACCAGGAACTGAGCCAATACGCTTTGGCCGCTCTGCCTCTTGAGAGAGATAAGTCATTATTTTACTATTAGAGGCATGTACGCGAGCTAAGAGTTCATCTTCCTTCTCCCATTGTGTCATATCTTCCTCCCAATCTTTAATGTACTGAGACCATATTTCGTCGTCAGAAGAAGAAGAAGAAGAAGGTAGATGTGACGGTCCGGCTCCATAGTTCATTGATGAAGAAGTTATTTATAGAAATAATCATATAAGTTGTGAGTTATTTAGAGATGGATGTAATGTCATTATATAATATGACTCCCCGCATTGGATTCTTTTCAACATTGGCTTCTCACCCCCACATTGGATTCCTTTCGCGTTGGAGACTCCTCACATTGGATTCTTTTCAGCATTGGCTTCTCACCCCCCCACATTGGATTCCTTTCGTGTTGGAGACTCCCAACATTGGATTCTTTTCAGCATTGGCTTCTCATTGAATTCCTTTCGTCTTGGAGACTCCCCACATTGGATTCTTTTCAGCATTAGCTTCTCACCCCCCACATTGGATTCTTTTCGTGTTGGAGACTCCCCACACTAGATTCTTTTCAGCATTGGCTTCTCACCCCCACATTGGATTCCTTTTGTGTTGGAGACTCCCCACATTGGATTCTCCTAGTGTTGGAGACTCTCCGTATTGGATTCCTTTCTTGTTGGAGACTCCCTAGATTGGATTCCTGGTGTTGGAGACAACCCACATTTGATTCCTTTCGTGTTGGAGACTCCCCATATTGGATTCTTTTCAGCATTGGCTTCTTACTCCCCCACATTGGATTCCTTTCGTGTTGGAGACTCCCCACATTGGATTCTTTTCAGCATTGGCTTCTCACCCCCACATTGGATTCTTTTTGTGTTGGAGACTCCCCACATTGGATTCTCCTAGTGTTGGAGACTTCCCACATCTGATCCCTATATAATACTTGCACAATTTTCATATCTCCACCACAACTCTTCGATCTTATTCTATATTCATAACTCTTTACATTCCTCCTTAGATTATGGCATCTAGTCTCGAAAAATCTTTTTTATAAGAAGAAGACCAAGTTTTATGCGCCACGTGGCTCGAAATTTCTCAAGATCCAGTCATGGGATCTAATCAAAAGAAGGACAAGCTGTGGGAACGAATTTCTGCTTTATTTCATGAAAGGATTTCCAATATTTGTAATGCTCAAAGGACTCTGAAGTCTCTTTCATGCCGAATGCAATTAATTATGAAGGCCATCAGTAAATTTCGAGGATGTATTCGACAAGTCGAGCGCTTAAATCCAAGCGGTGCTTCTGAGCTTGACATTGTAAGTATTTTGAATAACATAAATCTTGATTATCATCTACTATCATGTTATTAATAAATGTTTCTTCCTCTCTTGTGGTAGATTAAACGTGCTAGGATAATATTTGCAGAAGATCCAGAAGAGAGAAAGGGGTTTCTATTTGATCATGTTTGGTCAATTTTAAAAGATGTAGAGAAATGGGCAAATATAAGTGTCAGATCGCCTGCAACTTCCAAAACTTCAAAGTCCCGCTCATCTCAGGGATCAGATTCAAGTTCTCTTGTCGTCGACTTAAATGACGATAATGAGGAATATACTCATAATGACGAAGATATGATAACAAGTCGACCGACAAGAAGGAAGAAAGAGAAGATGAGGAGGCGACATGCAACTGAATCCAACCTCGACTTGGAAACTCTCAATAAAAGCAATCAAGAAATTGTCGATATTTTAAAAAAAAAGTCATGGAGAACGAGAAAATGATAGAATAGCAATGCACCAGATTATGATGTTAAGGGTCGAAAACGAAAAGAAAAAATTAGATATTCAAAGGGAGCGCCAGGAAAGTAAGATTATGTTGATTAATCTTGATACTATTACTGATCCTTCGGAACGCGAGTATTTTCGAATTAAAAAACAAGAGATTTTAAATAGAAACACAACCGGAGGTTCTTCATCTGATATTCCTAATCCTGAATATAGTTATGCAGGAAGTCAATACGGAATACCTAACTACAGAAGCGGTGGATATGGAGGAAATGGCCTGCCCGATTTTTAGTTTTTTTCATGTATTTTATTTTCATGTACTTTATTTTCATGTACTTTATTTTTCTATGTAATGCCGCTGAATGTAATATATAAAATTTCATCATTCGAAGTAGCTGTGAAGGTTATTCTAAATATTATGCTATATTTTCTGCTTTTTAAATTTTAAAGGCTCTTATCTATGTCTTATTATCAATTTATTAAAGATAATTAATTTTATTTAAATAATGAGTATATTATATATTATACTTTTAGTATTAATTTATAATATATTTTATATTTTAAATTAATTCATATAATTTTTTAACATTTTATATTTTTTATATTTTCAAATCTATTTAAAGTATTATAAAAGAAATCAATTAAAAATGCAAATAGAGTTTCATATAGAGGGGGTGGTTGGAGTGCCCCCCCTCTAAAAAAGCATATGCCCAAGAATATACTTTGGGGAGGCTGCATTTTGCAGCCTCCCCATTGGAGTTGCTCTAATGCATTCACTTTTGGAGAGTCAAGAAAGTAGGAAATTTATTTCTTTTTAACCCTCTCCATCTTTTCTCTTCTCTGATCACTGTACCTAAAAAAAATGTAAACAAACATAATTTTATTTGGATGGTTAGCATTGCGACTTTCCCAACTCTTCCCTAGGCCTCTTAAAGAAAGGTATCCAAACTCACTCAAAAGGGTATGTGTGGCAACCTACAAAAACAGGATGAAGTTTGATCTTTATCCTATTTTGAAATTAAATCTGACTGAAAAAATTATTGTACGCAACGGAAATTTCGGCAGCACCTCTGGTGCTTGACAAGAGAGTAGATCTCAACTAAATCCATGTTTTACAAAGGAAACAAGAACCGAAAGTAAAATATCTCAACAAAGTGGGATATCAGCTCTTCCTCTCATCAATTCTAGGACTAACTTGTCGAGGGAACCTAAACTCTCTATTACAAATCACAACACGAAAAATCAATTTTAACGTGGTTCGGCAAATTGCCTACGTCCACAGGGCAAGGAGAGGGGATCTACTATTAGAGAGAAAAAGAATACAAATAGGGTTTACAATCACATAGCTCTCACAAATTAAACCCTCAAATAGACTCCTTGTTTTTCTACTCAAAAAAATCAGCCGTTAAAGGCTTTTTCTCTCTGTGATACGCCTGCACACAACCCTCTACGCGAAGCCTTGCACGCCGCCCAAGATTTTCGTTCTCCCCCTTCTGCACTACCTCGCTAGGTCACGCGTTTACCAGCTATATATAGCTGCAAATAGACTATCGGGTGTGCCTGTACGCGTCATATGGGTGATCTCTTCACGAAGCCACACGAAACCCGCTGGGAAATAGGATGTCTTGCATGGGTGTGGCCCCACATGAAGCCTTTCACGTGGTCTCTGCAATTACACGCGGTTTTGCTGCCTTTCAACTGCAGCATATGTGCCCCCCCACACGTTTTATCTTCTTACAATTCTTCACCTCGGTGAAGTTTTCCCAAAACTGAGCCGACACCAACTAAATCAAATATCTCACTTGTTGCATCCAGTACGAAGTGAAACAATTCACGACAACGGACTCAATCCACAACAAGTTGAGAACCCAAATGAGAATGCAAACACTCTCCAAATGTCGGTATCAACTCACCAAATTGGCTGCATCATAAAGACTGCCTACGTATCCTCTTGTCCAAGGAATCAAGCCTCATGTAGTTCACCCAATGGCCTCCAAAAAGCCTCAATCAAGTAGAAAAGTTTATAACTCTTCACCAACATCACCAACGGATCTGTAACTGATAGCTCTCCTAAAGGTCCTAAACTGAAACATATCAAACACCTCCATCTGAGGTGAACCAATAGTCGTATCCAAATCATACCCACCAGCTGCACTCAAATCTAAAAACAACTCATCATTTGCATCCAAATCCAAAATGATCCCCAAACTATGTCACCTCAGCTGGAATCTCAAACAATACAGAATGATCTGGAGTATGTGGAGTAATCTCCACCCAATTTGAAGTAACATCACTCTCCACCTGCTGTGATACCTCTATGATTTGTCCAAAACTCTCCATCTGCTGAGAGTCAATAGGCTCTCTCATCAAAGCCTCATCCAATGTGACATTACCAGACCAAATATCCAATTGAGTTTTACCTCAAATCACAGCAGTTGATAACTCTTTAATAGGATGACCCAAATATGTCGAAGCCTCAGTCTAGAAACTCTTCTATAGACCATTGCTTGATAACAAACACCGATCCTCCTCCAGCAATACACGGTTCTCCAAATTTGTCACCCTATCTAGTTGCCCTAAGATTTTTTTTTCAACGAAGTGTCTCGAAATGCTGCGAGCTCGGCTCTAATACAGAAATATGTCCATCTTATACCTCCCACCAAAACCAGAATGAAGTACCTTCAACTTTCTGTCTATCACACACTTCTTCGATCTGTTGCAGACTACTAGGATTTTATCCAAAGGGGATTTGGTTGCAACCCAAACACACATAGAACAGAAACCAAACATCTATTTCCTCCCAATGATGCCTCCTTAGAAGACCCCCAAAGATCCACGTGAACCCCATCTGAAAGACCCCCATGTGGTGAATAGAGGTGCCAAACTTCACCTCGGTCTTCTTGCTCACACCAAAGTATTCACTGGACTTCAAACTGTAGGTCGTTGCACCCATCTCCAAATCAATACTAGAATGAAAAAGCCCTAAATACCGCAGTCTAGTCGAATCAACATAAGTCGCCAGCTTTCCACCTGTCACTGTATCTCCAATCAAATAGTACATGTTATTCCTCCTGACGCCCTTCATCACAATCAAAGAGTCTTCTACAATCTCAAGAACAATGTCCTCAACACGAACCTTTAGACCCTCTCCAACCAAAGCTCCAATTGAGATCAAGTTCTTCCTCAAGGAATGAATATATCTCACATCATATAACTCCTTAACAGTCCCGTCAAACATCTTGATGCGAATTCTTCCTATCCCAAGGATCTGATATGCACGGTTGTCTCCCATGTACATCACACCACTGTCTAGCTTCTCAAAACTAGAGAACCATTCCCTTCTAGGGCACACATGATAGGTCACACCACTATCCAACATCCACTTAGTTTCCTCCGAGTAGCTACCTGTAGGACTGATAGACATCGAATAAATAGAAGTATCAGAAATATTACCATCTGATATAACGATGTTTGCTTCTGATGATGGTTGCTTCCCTTTTCCCTTCTGCTTAAAATATTACCATCTGATATAACGATGTTTGCTTCTGATGATGGTTGCTTCCCTTTTCCCTTCTGCTTATTCTTCATCCATTCGTTTGCTTCTGATGATGGTTGCTTCCCTTTTCCCTTCTGCTTATTCTTCATCCATTCGTCGAGTTTTGGACAATCTTTCTTCTAATGACCAGTCTCCTTACACCAAGCACACTGATCTTTTCCAACTGTAGGATGCCCTACTCTAGACTGTGACTTCTAATTCTTTTGGTTTGGGTTCTTCCCTCTTGCGACCAATGCCTCCGCTACTGGCTCAACTGAAGCCTCCTTATCCTTCTTTCAAAGCTGATAGTTCACAAGTGCAGTGATGACTTCACTATACGAAAGGGACGCCTTCCTATTAATTAGGGTAAGAACAAAGGTCACGTATTCCTCATCAGGCAAGGAACTCAACAACAGCAATGCCCTGTCCTCATCTTCAATCATAATATCCACATTCACCAAATTCGCAAGAAGCTTCATGTAGTGATTCATGTGATCACTAATGGAGGTTCCCTTCTTCAATTAGAAGCGATAAAACCTCCTCTTCAAATGCAAGCGATTTTCCACACTCTTGGTCAAATACTTGCTTTCAAGGATCTCCTAAATCTTCTTTGCAGAAGTCTCATTCATCACATCATACTTTAGATCCTATGTTAAACAAGACCTAATTACACCACACACCGTCCGATTCATCTTCTTCCAAGCCTTCTCTTCAATATCATCTGGCTTGCCATCCAATTCTAAAGTATCCTCCAAATTTTACGCGTTCAGTGCATCCAAAACTTCGCATCGCTAAAGTCCAAAGTTGTTCGTGCCATTAAACTTCTCCACATCTATCTTCGTAGAGTGGATATTCAAACTTTGAATGGTCTTCACACCAGAAGCACCACCCTCAACACCTTCTTTCTCGGCCATGTTCCTTAACATACTAACAACCAATGCGGAACAAACTGAAGAATAGATCCAAACTTGAGAAAGATAAAGCCTTTACCAAAAGGATCCCACCTTTAACTTCAATTGAAACCCTAGACGAGCTTCCAAAGTGATCTACTCCTCCAAATTGCCCAAGTATAGCCCGAGCTCTGATACCACTTGTTGTGCGCAGCGGAAATTTTGGCAGCACCTCTGGTGCTCGACAAGGGAGTAGATCTCAACTAAATCCATGTTTCACAAAGAAAACAAAAACCGAAAGTAAAATATATCAACAAAGTGAGATATCAGCTCTTCCTCTCATCAGTTCTAGGACTGACTTGTCGAGTAAACATAAACTCTCTATTACAAATCACAACACGAACAATCAATTTTAACGTGGTTTGGCAAATTGCCTACGTCCACAGGGTAAGGAGGGGGGGGGGATCTACTATTAGAGAGAAAAAGAATACAAATAGAGTTTACAATCACACAGCTCTCACAAATTAAACCCTCAAATAGGCTCCCTGCTTTTCTACTCAAAAGGGTCAGCCGTCAAAGGATTTTTCTCTCTGCGGTACGCCTACACACAACTCTCTGCACGAAGCCTTGCATGCCGCCCAAGATTTTCGTTCTCTCCCTTCTGCACTACCTCGCTAGGTCACGCGTTTACCAGCTATATATAGCTGCAAATAGACTATCGGGTGGGCCTGTACGTGTCATATGGGTGATCTCTTCACGAAGCCACACGAAACTCGCTGGGAAATAGGATGTCTCGCATGGGTGTGTCCCCCACGTGAAGCCTTTCACGCGGTCTCTACAATTTCACGCGGTTTTGCTACCTTTCAATTGCAGCATATGTGGCCCACACACGTTTTATCTTCTCACAAGGCTAGAGTTGGCTTAAACTGGTTTTTTTATATACCCTCCTCATTGGTTCATAAAAGAAAAAGAACCAGCTCTTATCAAAAGTGGCCGAGATCAGTCCTGGCCTAGTTTTGAAAAGATTACCAACAGGTCTAAAGAGTAGGTTGGTTTCGATATTGGTCCCTTATTAGGATTTTAATATTTAAAAATCAATTCCTCAATCATGGAAATGGCTATTAGGTACCTCAAACCTTTAAAGTGATTTCAAATTAGTACCCCTCTATTAGTTAGTTTGTCTAAATTACTAGCTTGAGATTAGTTGCAGCCACATATATATGATGAATCCCATTTATTCCCCCTCACAAATCCGATGAAAATAATTTTTTTTAAGAAATAGGTTTTAAGCGTCTAGAAACTCAGAAATGAGGTTTAACGAGATTGGGTTGAAAGTAATTTAAAAGAAGAATTGTAGCTAGAAACTCATCAAAAATGTTAAATAGAATCTCTCCCAAATCAAACGATAACTAACTACATTGGCTAATTTGAAATGACTAGTGTTATACCCTAGAAATGTCGCTCTCCACTCGGAGCCGGCATATCGTGTCTTGAATAGTAAAATGGCCTGCCAAGCGTCATCAAAAGTTGCATCGCATATACTACATGAACAGTCATGCCTACATTTCACTATCCAGTCGCCATCAACATTAATGTGATATCATAGTCATTATGACCGCTCAAGCGAGAGCCTTCAAAGCTCCTCGGGCATGCCTTTACTCTAACAGTCCTATCACTGATTGTGAAGGTGACTCATCCAAACACCTGCTAACATGTGTAAAGCATAAGCATGGTCTGAACCATCACTACACAAACCCAGTCAAAATTACCAATATGCCCCCCGTAAAACCTTATAAATAATGACATCTTTCACCACGCTAAGGTACGCAAAATTTTACACACAAAAAGTCAACAAGACCATGCTCTATTTTCCTCTTCAGATTAATGATATCAGTTACTATCTTGAGCGTTGGAGGGCACACTAGAGGAAACAACGTCTAGGATCTCCAACCTCTATTGTTTGTGTAGGAAATTGCAGCTCGAAACTCTCAACAGGAACAATCAGCCATCAAAGAAGATTGAGGGACCCCAAAATCATATCCCCCCTAAACCATACATCAACTTTCTGACATATAGTAATACTTGAGGGATTAAATCACAATTTTAATGAGTTGAGAGGCTAGTTTAATAATACCAAAGATTTGAGGGATCACTCGTAACACTTCAGTCCAACTTATAGTCCCACAACGAATAGTTAGAGGAATTTGAGAGACTTAAAATAGAATGCTAAGGAACTCAAATGTAGTATTGCCTAGCTACTTTTCATCGTATTTTGAGCCAAACAACACGCTGTACTCAGTGAATCTCACTGCTTACTATTCCCCAACAGGACCGCACTTAGTGAATCTCATGGTTTACTATACTTCAATGGGCTTGCGGGCCTAGTACACGACATCAATATAAAAAGGGCCCTAAAAAATAAGTATTTCAAATTTTATTCAATCAAGTAAAAGAGGAATTTGAGGTATTATTTGAAAAAAAAGAAGTATTAGCACGGCAACTACTCTATAACAGATTCTTGTTTTCCCAATAGACAAGCAAAAAGATGTAGAAATATTGAAACCATATCATATATATATAAATACACACACGCGCACGCACACTAGGTTTTTTTATACACGTGCAATGCACATGGTTAAATAGCATGATTTAGTATTTTTGGCTTACTTTCTAACTATTTTTTCCTCAGTTCCATTTTAATAGTTTGTACTCACTTTTATCTCTAAACTTTAATATTGTAATTATTTATTTTCTTTGATGTTTGTTTAAATGGGCTACACCCAATTTAAATTTTCATGTTGATATTTGAATTGATAGAAAACAAATATAATTTAAAGCTAATTTAAAATTTTATATTATTTTGACTGACATGAAACCAAGCTTTACTTGAGAAAGTACAGTTTTGTAAAAGTAAAAATTATTGAAACAGTACTATATAAGGAAGGTGAATATTTAAAACCAATAAGGTAAAATGATTGGTTAAAAGTATGCTAAAACGATATAGAAGAGAATATGAAGTTTGTTACTAATCATTGATAAACTTTATAAAAATTATAAGTTAAAGATTAATGCTAACTCTAGTATACTTTTATATGATAAAAGCATCTATAAAAGTATTGAAAAAGCTCATGAAACTCCCTTCAAAAGATTCCTAAATTTACTCAAAATAATTAAACTATTCTATAAAAATATTCAGAAAATATTATCTTTTATTCCTTCTGTTTTATTTTTTTTATTGAACTAACATCAATCCTTTCTCACCTTTATCTTTTTCTAGACAATCTAGAGTTGTGTCTTCATCATCTATATTGATTGTGACATCATGCTAGACTTGTATTTTTTTGTGCTGTTATCTTTTCTGGGCTCGTTAATCTTTTATCTTGTCATTTAACTTCACAAACAAGTTAAATGTATATCTGATATTTAACATAAACTTCTTGAAATACAGACTTTGATTTTTTTCTATTTCAATGAGAATAAAAGTTAATTTCATATATATAAAATTCTTTGTGTTCCTAATTTATTACTTAAATAAGATTAGAAAATACCTTTTTTCTCAATAATGAATTCTTCTGATGTGCATCCAATAAGAATTTTTGTTATGTCAATGATGTTACATTTGCTCCATCCTTGTTATTTCTACAAAGATCTAAACTAAATACCTACATTTTTATTACAAATTTACCTTAGATTATAATATTAATATTTAATTTTTTAGTATTTGAAGAATAAAGTATGAAATTTATGAATACTTACTAATTTTCTTATCTTCCATGAAGAATTCTTCTTTAATTGGGATAAAGTTATTAAATTATTCTTCAATGTAACTCAATTGGTGCTTCTTTAATAGATATCCTTATATTAATGCCAATTCAAATGATTCATGGAAACATCTGAATTTTAAATTTATTTTCGTCACTTCCCATTTGCAATGGAAATAGCTTGATTCTTTAAAGGATATATCTAAACATTCTTGACAGTTTTTCTATACATAATTTATTGTAATATTTTACTCTATAAATATTATTAACATCAAAGATTAATGTTTTTAAATTATAATAAATTAGTTGTAAACTATTATATTATAGTCTTTTATCATTTTTATGGATTTAAACATATATCAATTAATGTTGCTAATGTGTTTTTGTTACTCTAACTTATTAGTATAATTATATGCAGTTACTTTAATTTATATAGTGATGATAATTTTTAAGCTATAATATTTTTTAAATTTATATTCCTTAACCGGATATTTTTAATCAATTCTTATTACTTTTGTTTATCAGTATCAACTTAGACTATTTTTAGATGCTGAAAAGGAATAGTAAATTCTAAATTAGAAATTTAATATATATATATATATATATAAGAATATCTAACAATTATACTTTTCTTTGCCAAGTTTTAAAATTTCAGCCCTTTTTGTGGTTTTGAACTTTGAGAATGTGATTTGTAATTTTTAAAACTTTAGGAGTGTTTTTAAAAAAATTACTTTAAAGTTTGGAAGTTACAACTTCTATATTTCATATGTCAACAATTTACCAATAGTTTCTAGATTTGATGTGTATTGGTTATAAATTTTAAAATTTAATGTTTTTTGCGATTTTTAAAATTTGAAAGATATTTTTTTATAATTTTTAACTTTGAGTTTAATGGTAAATTTTAAATTTTTAAGTGCATGAGGGTAATCTCTTGAATACATCTTTTATTGTTTGTAAATTTAAAATTTTTAGAATTTTAGGGTTGTTTTTTATAATTTAAACTTTTGAGGGTGTTTCTATAATTTTTGGAATATTAAGGGTGTTTCTATAATTTTTGGAATATTGAGGGTGTTAATTAAAAATTTTAAATTCTTTAGAGGCTGCTATTAATTTCGTGATTTCATGTTTGTTATTTTAAGTTTTAAAATGTCTAAAATTTTTAGGTGCATTATGGTAATCCCTTGAATTCATCTATGTTGTTTATATGATTTAAATTTTTAGAATTTCAGGTGCTTGTTTGTAATTTAAACTTTTGAGGGTGATCCTATAATTTTTGAGACATTGAGGTGTTAATTATAAATTTTAAATTCTTAGCAAGCTTCTGTTAATTTCTTGATTTCATGTTTGTTATTTTAAGTTTTTAGACGTCGGGTTTGATTTTATAATTTTAAATTTTTCATGGTACTTTGTGCAATTTTAAAACTTTTTAGATCTTTTTGTAATACTTTATGTATTATCGTACGTTAGCTATGTATAATTTATTTATCTTAACGAACTAATACCATAAAGATATTTCATACTTTTTTATTAATATTATTTTTAAAATTATTAAGCTATGGATAGTTCACATAGGATTATGATCAGATATAATTACGATTAGGATAGATTAAGATAGAAATAAAATATTTAAAATAGTGAAGAGTAATATTGATCATAAAAAGATTTTCCCAAACTCGTACCTTTAAAGGGAGTATGATTTAGATCTTTTTCTAATACTTTATGTATTATCGTACGTTAGCTACGTATAATTTATTTATCTTAACGAACTAATACCATAAAGATATTTCATATTTTTTATTAATATTATTTTTAAAATTATTAAGCTATGGATAGTTCACATAAGATTAGGATCGGATATAATTACGATTAGGATAGATTAAGATAGAAATCAAATATTTAAAATAGTGAAGGGTAATATTGATCATAAATCGTATCGCCAATTTATTCCCCTTGTCCAAAGCGAAAAAAAAGGTTATTTTCATTTTGACACCACAAAGTTTATCCATGTTTTCACTTTGATACCCTATGTTATATTTTTTTTAAAAAAATTACTTATGGGCATCAAAGTTAAAATAAGCCATCCAAAAAACCCAAACCCGAAGGGGTTTCATTTGCCCATTTACTCCTTCAATTCCCTCCTACTGCGTTGTGTGGAAGCAAAGAGTAGGAGATAAGAAGGCTATAGGCCTCTTGAGCTTACAGCAAGCAACAACAAATGCAAGAACACCAACAGAGAACAAAATCAAGCAAAAAAATAGAATAAAGGACTCCAAAACCAAAA